AATTAAGGTAGTTTCCTTGGAGACAAAAGTCCTAAAAATCAATGTAAAACTAGAAAAAAAAAAAAAAAAAGATTAAAAATTGTTTATAATTTTCAATTTTAAAAAAGATTTCGAATATAATATCAAACATATTTTCAAATATTAAAAATATTAACATACAACTCAAAATTTTTAATCATATATTAGTATTTGAAAATAATTTTCATATTACAAATCAAACAAACCCTAAAAGAAATAGAGAAATTGATTCAGTACATAATAAACAAAAAAAAAAAAAAACTTCAGTTATTGTTCACAGTTAAAATAAACGATTGATGAAAATATTTAAGCAACCGAAAAGGAAAGATAGATAAATTTTAATAAAAGATATCTTGCTTTAATTTTTTTTTTTTTTTTTTTTTTTAACCTCTATATATACCAATTTTGTTGTCATTTTCAAATGAAATTTCTAAAATATTTAATGAAGGAATGTTGATACTGACATTAATCCAATAAGATTATTAGATCTTGAGCCAATCTAGTCGAATTAATTAACACTTCAGAAAAAGAGTAATATTTTCAATCCAACGGTTTTCCATTTCTTTATATGGAATCTAACTTACCGAATTTATTTGACCAGCAAAACATTTTTTATTTCCCCTCTCATGCTCAGAAATTTACCAATATATAAACACAGTTTAAACAGTCTGTCATGCATGCCAAACTTTTTCAAATGGAAAACTTGGTTATCTCCTCTTGTTCTCTCTGTGGTTTCAGTTTGGAATCAGTACAGGAAATGTGCCAGAATCAACATAGTTTAGTGTAGGTGTGGTTCTTGATTTGAATCGCCATTTGGTGCCATGGAAAAATATGTGTAGTCGATGGCAATCTCGGATTTTTATGCAGCTCACTCTAATTATCAACAAGAGTGTTTCTACCCCCCAGGGACTCGGCGGGAAGTGTTGTTGCCCACCACTTCTGCAGTAACTTTACTTCTTTTATACATATGATACGATGAAATGTGCTTTCATTTTTTAAATTAACCCATTTCAGTGTATGAAGATGTGCATGCATGGTTTTATACATTCTTCAACTTCGAACTTTATCATTTCCTCAAAACTAAAGATGAAAAACATCCGCAATTTTGTTTACGTATCTTGCGATACTTTGTTGGATAGTCAGCCATGCTTCTGTCGTTGATATTTCAATTAATATTTCAATTCACTTCCGATAATTACGAAGCTGTTCATCATAAAAAACAACATAAAACCATAGGGAAACTTTTCAGAAACCCCTGAATGGTAGTGATTTATTTTAACCCTCTGGTTTGGGAAATAACTCTAATCATCTGTCCTTATTTGCAAATAAAATACAAATTGATAATATTAATAATATAAAATAACTTAAACCTGTCTACTATTTGAAAACCAATGATGTCACTTCCCAACACTCGAACCCTAAAAATACATTGGCTATGCGTTCGGATTAACTTCCCAAATTGAGCCGCGGCAGCGGCAGTGCCAATCGTGGTGTGGCTGCCATAACAAGGCTTACAATTCTCTCTCTTTCTATCACTATACCCACCAAATCCCCTCCTCGCCCAAACAGTTCCTCAACTGGATGAAGAATAAAGCTTTAAGAAAGAAAAGAAATTTTTTTCCTTTTACTTTTTTCTATTTCCAATTCCTTTTATACCCCTCATATAATGGAAGGGTATAAGGCTATTTCTGAAACTATAGGGTTTTAATAAATACTTCATATAAAAGGTCATATAATCTTTGACTTTTTGGACCTTGGCTTAGTGTTAGAATTCTAGATAAAAGACAAAGAATGAATTTGTATACTCAAGTGTGTGTTTTCCAATGTACAAGAGGTTTCTATTATACTTTACAATACATACTAGAATCATGTTAATGTCTAAATCAAACTTTGCTTGATTCACCCATTGATCAAGTTTTACTTGATTTTGGCTACACTTATCATGTTGATTTTGCTATACGGCTATAGGGTTACCGTTTATAACAGTGCATATCTTAGCATTCAAACAAAAATCATTAATATTTACATATTTTCAGCAATCTACAAAAAATAAAAATAAAAATGAGTTCATTGTTGCCATTATACTTGAGAAAGGAAGCAACATTTAATATTCTGAATTCACAGGATGAGACTTCCTAAATTATAGTGCTTTTATTAAATTTTGTTTCATGTTTTAAGTTTTTATTTCAAAATCTACATTCTTTAATAATTGTATATGCCGCCTTATGTAACATTATGTTAAAAAGTTAAATACTGGTGGTTGGTGTGGGGGTTTTTATTGGGTGAAAACTGGCGTGTGTACGGGTATGTTAGTGAAATTGTTGTTTTTGATGAGATTTTTTTTAATTACAAGATTAGATTATTTTTTTTTTATACTTTTTTTATTTTTTTATTTTAGTTAATTTTTTTTTATTAATTTTTTTTAGTTTTTTTTGTTTTGTTTTTTCTTTTTGTTAGATTTTTTAGGTTTTTGTTTTATTTTTTTTTAGGGTTTTTTTTATTTTTGTTATTTTGTTTTGTAGTTTATTTTTTTTTATTTGTTTTTTTATTTTTAATTTAGCTTTTTTTTTTTTTTTAGTTTTTTTAATTTAGTTATATTTTTATATTAATTTTTTTTGTTTTCGTTTTTTTATTTTTTTATTTTTTAGTTTTTTATTTTATTTTTTAATTGAGTATTTGTATTTTTTTTTTATTTTTAGTTTTTAGTTTTTCTTTTTTTTTTTTTTTTTTTTTTATTTTCTTTTTTTTCTTATGGTCTTAATTTTAATTTTTTTTTTTATTTTTTTTTTTTTTTAGGTTTTTTAAATTTTTTTTTTTTATTTTTTTATCTTATTTAATTTATTATTTGTTTAGTTTAATTTTTTTAGTATAAGAATTTTTTGTTTTATATTTTAATTTATTTTTTTTTAGTAGATTTGTTTTGATTTTTTTTTTTTTTTATTGTAATAATTTTTTTTATTTTTTTTTTTATTTTTTTTATTTATTCTGTTTTTTGTTTTTAAATTTAATTAATTGATTATCATTAGTATTTTTTTTTTTTTTTTTTTTTTTTTTGTTTTTTTTTATTTTTTTTTATTTTTTAATTTTTTTTTTTTATTTTTTTAAATTTTTTTTTTGGTTTTTATTGTTTTTTATTTAATTTTTTTTGTTTTTTTTTATTTATTATTTTTTTTTATTAAATTATTTTATATTAATTTTTTTTTTTTTTTTTATTTTTTTATTTGTAGGTTCAGATTGTTGTGTAGATTTATTGACTCAAACACTAACATTCACATTTCAAATAAATTATTCATAACTGCCATGCCTCTTAGTGAATAACAATTATATTAAAAAAGGTTAAAAACCTACTTTTTTTTTTTTTCTTTTTTAACATTTTGTTGCCACAAACCTATAACCCGATTTTGTTAACAAGGGTATGAAGAGAACAATTTTCAGTAGACGATGAGGATATTTTTTTTTAATCATATACTTAAAATAACATTTGGCTTTGTTTTTTTTTCTTTGTAAAAAATCTAGAGATGACTATTTGAAAATACAGGGAGGAGGTTTAGTTATTATTCGGCCAAATTCAATATGATTACCTTAAAGAAAAACCAGATGTCCGAATCAGATGAAAATGGAATAGAATGATAGGCTTCTTGATTTGTTAGGTGAAATTTTGAAATTAATTTCTATTATTTACTTGCCTACTAATTTTTTTTCCTACCTTTTCATGGATCAGTGTGGATTTGTTGAAGAATGTTGATGTGCATGCCATTAATTATAACGTCCAGATCTCTCTAAATGCAAATAGATATGTGATGGCATTGGGAGAAAACTCAAGTCCCTTTTATTTCAATTTTCCACCACACAAAGGCCCTTTCATCCATAACAACCCAAAACTTCTCCTTTTCTTTCCCCGTGAAAGCCATTGCTGCCGTTTTACAAAGAATTTAAATGGCGTTAAGTTGTTCTTTACATGAAACCCAACTATGGCACTGGATCATTCCTTAGGCCATTGATATTTTCCAAGAACTGTGGCATTCGTTTTTGTGCACATTATCGCAATCTCTCGTTTTGCTGAAGATTTTGAAATCTCTAAAGAACGAAAGAGTAATACCACATCATGAAAACTAGGGTTTTTTCCTCGTGCACTACTGTTTCCTTTGGTTCTCGTACTGTTTGAACCGCCGCGGATAAAGCAGGAATGATGAGCAAAGAGATGGATGTTTGGCTCATCACTGATGGATTCCAATTAACTAGAGCTATTAGATCTCCACAACCATTGAAGGAATGAAATGTGTATTGGGCATCAGGCCTTACGGTCCCCGAAATCGAAAGATCCTGAAAACTTCTTCGGAAAAAGTGACAAGGACCTCCAGTTTCATGATGTCAAATAGTACACATAATTAGGCCAAACATATTTGGTTTATGGGCTTTTGATACAATATCTTTATTAGCAATGGCATCAGAGAAGATTTGTTTATTAATATAGTAGCCAGCTTTTTAACAGGTAACAAAACCGAAAGTTCAATATATGTTGAAAACTTGGGTTTTCGCAAATTGGTCCAGACTGCTCAATGAAATCTTTGATGCCACCCAAATCACAGGATTTAGCGGAGAATTTGAGTTAGTTAATGGTAGTTACCACAATCCACCTTTGAAGTGGTCTATGATTGTACAAGAGGCAGAATGTTTGTAGGTACTGGACTCAAGACAAAGGTTTATCCCGAAATTTTGGTTCGACTAACGATCGACTCTCCTCTGAATTCAAGCAAGTTGAAAAAGATCCTAGGCCTGGACACTCCATAAAAATACCAAAAGGTTGGGACATACCCAAATTGAAAGTAGGGATCCCAAAGCATGAGGGTTTTACTCAATTTGTGGAGATTCAAAGGAATCCTTTTACAAAAGAGACAAAATGCACAGGGTTCTCATGTGATGTTTTCTTAGCTACATTAGATGCATTAGATTTCGAAGTTCCTTACGAATTTGTCCCATTCATGAATGCTGAAGGAAGGAGTGCTGGAACTTACGATGAACTTCTTTACCAAATTGAGGACAAGGTTAGGCCTCCTAATTCGAAATCTGTTTTTTAAACAATTTTACATGCACACATATGTTCATTGATTTTCAGGTTTGAATGTTCATATTTTTTTACTAATTTTTATATTAATTCTTCTATTTTTTTTCATTGCCTTTATGATGAGAAAACTTAGAAAGTGGATATTGTGGTGGGAGATACCACAATCGTTGCCAATCGAACATCATATGTTGATTTTACATTGCCATATTCGGAGTCAGGTGTGACCATGCTTGTACCAATTAAGCGTGATAAACGCAAAAATATGTGGATTTTCTTACGACCATGGAGCTGGGATCTTTGGTTGGCTGTCGTTATGTATTCTATCTTTACTGGGATTGCCATAAGAATCATTGAACATGGCACGCCAAACACAGAGTTTCAAGGATCAACTACACGTCAAGTCGGCATGGTATTATATTTTCCATTATCATCTCTAGTCGTTCCTCAAGGTAAAATCTCTAACTTTCAAGTTAACTATCACTTAATTTACAATTTTCACTGTTTGATATCATACAAGGCAAAAGGAAAAAGGCAAAACTAAATTGGGTTGATTTTTCCATTTAAGCATATACATAGTGAACTAAGAAGAATAAATCTCCTTTTTGCTTTGCTTAACTGGGATATTGCATGAAGATATAGGAAAAATTCAGTGCATTTAAATTATCTTTTACGAAATATGTTAATTTCTTTCACTGATAACAGGAAAATTGGTCAGCAAATACTCCCAGTTTGTATTGATCATATGGTTATGCTTGGCATATATTTTATTGCAAAGCTACACAGCAAGTTTATCTTCGATTTTAACAATCGATCGGTTGAAACCTTCATTTGTTAGCGTGGATGAACTCAAAACAAAAGGTTATTTTGTTGGATATCAATATGGTTCATTTGTGAGAAATGATCTGTTATTGAATAAACTGAAATTCAATGAGTCCAAGCTTGTGCCATATCACACCATCCAAGAGTATCATAATGCTTTGTCTAAAGGGAGTGAGAATGGCGGAGTTGCAGCTATCTTCGACGAAATCCCCTACGTTAGAGTCTTCCTTGCCAAATATGGTTCTGAATACATGATGTCTGGACCAACATACAAGACTGATGGATTTGGCTTTGTGAGTAATTCTTTCCAAAATGATATTTTACATATAAAAATCCAACATTGATGAAGCATGATCCTGATATAATTAATATCACTCTAATTCTAATTTCTAAAGCCACAACTTCCTATGTAATATCTTAATTTTTTGCATTTATTTATTTCAGGCATTTCCGCTAGAATCTCGACTGGTCTCTTATTTTTCTACAGCGATCTTACGTGTGAGGGAAAATAAAACACTGGATGATATTGAGAAGAGATATTTTGCGCATGAACTTACTTCTCAAAGTGATAATGCTGATCCAATTGCTACTAGTAGTCCCAGCCTTGATGTTTATAGCTTTGGAGGTCTCTTCATCATCACAGGGGTCGCTACCCTATTTGCCCTTTTCATATCACAAAGCTGGCTTTGGCAAAAGCCTGTTGCAATGGCGAAAGATTATACACAAAAATACCTTGCATCTCATTCACCAAATAATACAGAGGAAATTGTCATTCAATCAACAACTGGGAATGAGATGAACGTCACTGAACAATCCTCAGTACCGGAAGTTGAGAGTACTTCTGAGAACCCTCCTAGAATGTCCAACCTGCAGATTGATGAAAATGTTTCTGCAGAACAAGCTAAGTAAAATGTACCTAGTTCGGTGTACAAATTAACATGGGTTACATCTAAGGTGAAATTTTAAACTTTTAAGATAATAGTAATACTAGAGATGTATATTATAAAAAAGATGGATTTACATCCTTTCATAATTTGAAGTTGAATTTTAAAGGATTTTATGATACATTAAAAATCTATTCCACGCAGGACTTTTTGTTGCTGCACTCCTTTTAGGAAGTAGTTTGTTCCTCTTCCTATTTCTAAGTCTGTCCAGAAGCAAGTTGTTTGTAGCCTCTTGAGGCGCCGTTCTTTTTTTAGTTTATAAAAGCTTAATTACCCAAAAAAAAATAAAAAAATCTATTCCTTTGCTAAAATTTGTACTTTTTATTTTTAAAAAATAGTAATCACCAACATGTTTTTGTCAAATAAATGCTCCTATTTGAGGATTATCCCTAAAAATACTATTTTGTTAAGTCTCCATTTACAATATATGCAGGTCAGCCCAACTTAATTCTTCCCAAACCTGAGATAACACGGGCTTGTGACCCAGCCCATTTGGACGCTTTCTTAGCTTTTGTCTTTTTCTTTCCATAATCCCTTTACTGATACTCTGTTTTCTTGGCTTCCGTGTGCTGCCCACAACTTTATTTTTCTGTTCCTTTCAAGCGTAAGTCCACTTGATATCTTCACATCCTCTTCTGGGTCTGTTTAAAATTTTCTTTTTGTGATTGATTGTTTCATTTTTGGCTAATTTATATTCTTTCTGTTCGTTTTCAGAAAGCTAGCATTTGATTTTGGCTTTTCGAGCAGAAGTGTTGAGGATTGAAGGCTGAACCATTGTAATTTTTATTTGTTTCATATTGTGTTTCATTGTAAAAATTGTAATGTTTTTTGTGATTTAGATGTCATAAGCATTCTTAAATTGGCTTGTCAATTGTTCTTAGATTGGCCTCGTGGAATCTTATCTGATGATTCCGATGTTTTCTTCAATAATGATACTTTTTATCTCTGTAGACCAGATGGGAATAAGAAGGTTGAGATAAGTTCCCATTGTCTTTTCTATTTAGAAAGTTTTATCCCTTACTAAGAACTTTGTAATTTCAATCAGGAAGTTGAAGCCCTATGTTCTAACTTTGAAGTTTGATCGCCAAATGATTTATTTGGTATTCACGAAAAATCATTTTGTTCTTCATGTTTTCTTTTAGAGGTGGAAGAGCTCAATGTCTCAAAAACTTACTTTAAAAAGTTGGATTTTGGGCTCGGATTGAAATTAGTGTCTTAGTTGAGTTGATGTTTGTACATGTTTAATATTGCCTTTGTTGCTTTCTTTGATGTTTCATCTCACTTTGAATAAAGTGAATCTTGAAGAGACTTGCTGCAAGTAAAAAATTCAAACTAGGTTATGGGTGGAACAGAGAAAAAAGGACATTCTATGAATCTTTTTTACTTACCGTCCAATGTGAATTAATAATCCCAAGTTCATTATGTCTTTGGTCCGGCAAATAATTTCCCCTTCCTTCTCCGCCCTCAGGGCTTATAAGAAAATGTTGTTTTAGTGTTCTTACTTGCAATTATTTATAACTTTGTAAAAATTTTGGCCATCAATATAATTCATCAGGGGTAGTATGCCGCCTATTTTTAATTGTGTGCAAGAGGAAGTTGGAAACTGATGGATCATATTTTATTGTGCTGGCAGATGACATTAGAGAGATGGCATTTGTTAGTTTACTGTGTTTGATATAGAGTTGTTTATGTCAGATATATCTGAAAATTTTGTGCTTATTAATTGTTAATAAGTGCAAAGTTGGATTTGAAATGAGTTTCACTTGCAGATTCAGAGTGTTCGGGTGTGGAGTAATGCTTATACTTTTGAGGCAGTAGATTTATTTAGTTGCTCTAAAATATTAAATTCTTGTGTTTAAAGTTCTAGATTTTCATGGTATGCCATGTTTTTCTTTTAGTTTTAACTGTATTCAGTTTATTTTCTTTTTTTTTTTTTTGGTCCAGTCTTGNAGCAATTTAATTATTTTTTCTTTTACATGTTTTAGAAATTTCACTTAAAGATAATAATATAATACAATACAATTATAATTTGATAATTAGATAATAACTAAGTGTTATTAACATCAATTAACCTCAAAAATTAGAAATGACATTAAAACACCACCCCTACCTAACTGTCATAGCCAAGCCCCTCACATCCTCACCAACCACCTCGTATCACACCACATCCATACCACTCCACATTATCTCAATGCTATTAGATTTTGAGGAGAGAGAATTTAGGGAAAAATGGAATTCATTATATTACCAAAATTACAATCAATTACTGTACAACAACCTTTTATACAAACTCAACTACAGTAACTAACTCAAGTAACAGTCCTAACTAACTTCAGCTAACTATAGTTAAACTAATCTTTAAAGTAACTTTAGTTAACTAAAACAGTTAACTATGTTTGACTATTCAATGCTGAGCTGGAAGCTATTGAAGCTACTGAAGTATGCTTAAGCTGGAGTGCTTGCTGGAGTGAACTTGTTGAAGCTTTAATACTCCCCCTTAAGTTGGTGAGTGATAAAGGTTAAACACTCCCAACTTGGATAGAAAATGATGATGCAACTGACTGCCAAGGGCTTTGGTAAGAATGTCTGCTCTCTGCTCATTGTTGGGAACATACTTGGTAGTAATGATGCTAGCTTGAATCTTCTCTCGCACAAGATGATAGTCAATGTCAATGTGTTTGGTGCGCTCAGGGAGCATGGGATTGGAGGCAATATGCAATGCAGATTGATTATCATAGAACAGGGGAACAGGAGAAGAAAGAGAATAACCCAGTTATGAAAGTAACTACACTATCCACACAATTTCACAAATGGCAGAGGCCATTGCCCTGTATTCAGCCTCTAAAGAAGACCTTGAAATAGTGACATGTTTCTTAGATTTCCAAGATAAGAGAGAATTCCCAAAAAAACATAAAAGCTAGTAACAGATCTTCTAGTAAGCAACCAAGAGGCCTAATCTGAATCACAATAGGCAATGAGATTCAAAGAGCCATCAGATGGAAAAAATAAACCTAAACTAGGAGCATATTTTATGTACTTTACAATCTTCAAAGTTGCTTGCATATGAGATTGTTTAGATGCATAAACTGACTTTGTAAGTTGATAGAATAACTCAAATCTGGTATAGTCATGCATAGGTAAAGAAGCTTTCCTATAAGTTGCTAGTAAACAGAAGCATCTGCTAATAAAGGGTCCCTAGTAAGGCCAAACTATTTATCATAATCTGTGGAAGTGAACTTCATATGTTAGTCAAGAGGTATAGTGGAAAGTCTAGCACTTGATAACCTTATTGTAGAAATCAATTCCAAGGCATATTTGCGCTAGGAAAGAGTGATACCTTTGTTTACCTTGCAATTTCCAGACCAAGAAAGTACTTGAGTAAATCCAAGTCTTTAAGCTTGAAATTTGCTTGAAGTAATTGTTTGGTAGCATCAATGAGGGCTAAACTGCTCCCAGTGATGACTATGCCATTAACATACACAAACACCATCACAATGTGAGTTGCATGCTTCTTAGTGAACAATGAATAGTCTGATTTGGATTGAGTAAAACCACCTTGAATTAAGACAAAAGTTAGTTTGAAATTCCAGGCCCTAGAAGCATGTTTCAATCCATATAATGATTTGTGGAGTCTGCATACAACATTGTTGCTTATTGGTTTAGTAAAACCTTAAGGCAAAGACATATATTTCTTTAGTTAAATCACCTTGGAAAAAAGCATTGTCAATATCAAGATGATATAAAGGCCAATCATGAATAGAAGCTATAGACAAGATGATTCTTATTGTCACCATTTTAACCACAGGGGAAAATGTTTCTCATAATCAATACATGCTTGTTGTGTGTAGCCCTTAGCCACCAGTCTGGCTTTGTACCTTTCTAAAGTACCATCAGCATTGAATTTTAGCTTATACACCCATTTGCATTCGATTGGATTCTTGCTAGGAGGCAAAGGAACCAATGACCAAGTGTGATTGTCCTCTAATGCCTTTATCTCCTTTGACATAGCTTCAACCCATTTTGGATCTTTGGAAGCTTGGGAAAAGCTGGTAGGTTCAGTTAAAGTGGATAATTTGCTAAGGCAGACTTGATATTTGGGTGACAAATGAGAATAGGTGACATAACCCGAGATGGGATATTAGACACAATGAGTTTGTGAGGTAGAAGGTATAGTGGGACAGTGAAAATCAGTAGTCCAGATAGGTGGTCTTGTATGTCTATTTGATCTTCTTAAGGGAGCAGAAATAGGTTNTGGCCCAACTAAAACCGATTTCCTCGAGCCTAGAGGAATCGGTGGGTCACCTAGGGGTCCTGTAATAAACATCTCGAGTCTTCAAGTATGGTTGCCTCGTTCTTTGCTCCATCTTCAAGTACATTACAAAACTTTTAAATTTACAAAAGAATAATAATACAAAATTCTTTACATCAATAAATTTAGAAACCTCGATTTACATTCGAGGGGAGTTAAATGAGAAAAGAATGTACATCAAGAAAGAGGAGAAAGGCAGGACACACATGCCCTATTTAATAAAATACAACCATACATACCCAAAAATATTTAAAACATTCACCCTTAGGTCTAAGGCTCATGTACCGGGCACCATGAAATATACAAACAAGTACAAAGCATACATTTAAAAAACAATCAATTTTTGAAATTAGTGGGTTAATTACAATTTACCCCCTGATAATTTACAGATTTGCAGTTTGGTCTAAAAGTTTTAAAACTTTCATTTTAGCCAGTGCACACTCGGAAGTGCACTCGCTGCAGCGATAAGTTAGATTGCTGCAGCGTGTGTTGGTTATGCTAATATCCACGCTCTACGTACGTTCGCCACGACGATTTGGTACAGCGCACGTCCGAAGGACGATCGCTGCGGCGAGCACTGTTTTCGTACAGCGCTTGTCCAGAGGACGATCGCTGCGGCGATGGTTTATATTGCCGTGGCGAGCGTTGGTTTCGTC